GTGGGGGAACTTGCACAATCGGTGGCTGACTAAATACTTTTTTGCCCCACTGTACATATGTAATATTTCTTTCTGTATTATACTGCTGAGTGACATCTGAGTCTTCTGCTCGTCTAACTAACATATGACTTGCAAATAAAACTGAAACTGAACTGAAACTGATATATTCAAGTTTGTTCAATATATTCATATTTTTATTAATGTATTAATTTCTGTAACTGTGAGACACCTGCTGCTGCCTATCTTGGCCAGGTCTCCCTTGAAAAAGAGGTTTTTAATCTCAATGGGATTTTCCTCGTTAAATAAAGGTTAATAAATAATGTATTCAGACTTTCATTCTATATAGTCAAGTTTCATTCAATACATTCAGAGTTTCTTTTCTATATTTGAGATTCATTTAATATATTTGAGGTTTATTTAAAATAGTTAAGGTTATACTTTAAGATAAAAAAAACTTAATATAAATACTTAATATAAAAATAATATCACATAATTATAATCTAACAGTAATAGTAATAGCTAGTAATGTAAGCACAATAATCAAATCCATTGGTTGTCTATTATTATTATTACTTTTGGTAATTACATTGACATTACTTGTTCTCACATAGTAATTTCATATTTGTTTCTACAATACCTTAAGTTTACATGATATTTTCAACACCTTAGATGTTGTAAAATATAGATCATAGAATATTATGACTTTCTCAAAGACCACTGTAACACCATGTCATGATGAACACGTAGCATAGCCTTTGAATAACTATATAAATGAGTGAAAACACACCCATAACAGATGCCTGACATCAGGCGGGATGGAGCTGTCAGCTGTATTTATTTGTCTGAAATTATATCTGTATTTAGTTGAGCTGAAATCAGCTCTTGCCTTAGATCTATATCTAGATGGTCTGGATCAAATGCCTACAGAGGCTCAGGATAGATCTGTGGCTTCTTCTGTGAAATGTAAGCTGCAGGGTAGCACTCGTATCCCTGCATTCTCAATGGATGGGGACTATGTTATTGGTGGTGTTTTCTCTATTCACTACTTCATGCAAACAGTAAACCATAACTACACTACCATGCCTGAGCCAGTAAGATGCAGTGGGAGGTCAGTAAGTGGAAGAACTGAATGACAAACCTGTATGATGTTCAATAGTGTTGTGGTCCTTTTGTGTAGTGCTAGGTAAAAAAAAAATATATATATCATTTTGCAATGTATGCTAAATCCACAGTTTTAAAAATACAGATACTGACACTTTATTTTCTTCAAAACAAAAATTATACTGTGTTAACTCTTTTATGAATGCCTTGTTGCCTTGCTTTGAATTCAGTTACTGCTCTCGTGTGATGAATTTAAGCCTTATATTTTATCCTCAAATGAATTGCAGTTAATAGTTCCCTACTGTCTTTTTTATGTTAAAGCTAAACTATCCTAAATCTATGTTGTGTAGATTCTAACAGTGAGTTGATGTTCTTTTTACAGCATTGATACCCGTGAGCTGCGCTTCTCACGAGCAATGGTTTTTGCCATTGAAGAGATTAACAACAGCACAGAGCTTCTGCCCGGGATAAGGCTCGGGTATCAGATCTTTGACTCATGTTCATCAGTGCCCGTGGCAGTGCATGTGGCATTTCAGTTGCTAAATAGCTTGGACACTGTGTTTTACACAGGTGGTAACTGCTTACAATCTGGTATGGTGATGACTATTGTTGGTGAGTCTGGGTCTACACCATCCATCAGCATGTCACGCATCCTTGG